TATTTTATTCAGTTTTATCTTTATTGAAATATATAATTTTATAACATGTTCAAAAAAGATAAAATAAAAGAACGTATAATACTCAACTGAGAAAGAAATCGTTCAAAAATGATGAATCATTTTTGAGTTGACTAAATAGAATCTGATTTAATAGACTTTCTTGAAAAAGTTACGACAGTTTTGCAGAACTTTTACCTTAGGATGGAATATTGGTAGGGAACCTAAACAAAGTGTTTTCGCCCTGATGTTTTAGTTATAAAAATAAGTCTCATAATCTAATATTTTTATGGGTCCAGACATATGAAAACATTCGCAGTTCAAATGATATTTTTCTAAAAGATTATGACAACAATACGATGTTCACATGTATCAATATATTGATCCACTCATATTAAAAATAAAAGAAATTTCTTTTATGTTCTATGACGAATAAAAAATACAATAAAATTAATATTATGATTGAATTTTTTTCTGTAACACTCATTCATGATGTAGCAGGAAACGAGAAACGATGTTGTGGAACCAGCCGAACCCATTAGAATAGATCTATGGACTCGAATCTTTTTTTCTCGAGTTCTTCTAGTCTTCAAATCCTCTCTATAAGCCAAAGATATAGACTCATAAATGATGAAGCACTTGTGATAATTGTCCCATAAACCGTGGATTTACAATTATATTTGTGTAAATTTTACAAGCTCAAAAAATTTCTTTTCTAACATGTTTTTTTATGACATAAGCGTCGTATTGTGTGAATTTTCTTCATGTTAACTTTTAAAAATAATTAATCGATGAAAAAAACATTATATTGTCATATTTTTTTCCTAGTAATTTAATGACTGATGTTACGTAAAGTGAATGACATTGTGATCTATATCACAATCTAAAATTTAATGCGATAACAGAGTTAGATACAAAAATAGATAAATAAAACATATTTGGAAAGACTTATTGATGAGAAACATCATGAACATAGTCGAGTTGAACTATCAGAAAAAAATGCCCTTCTATGAAAGGTTTTATCTCACAACCTAATGAAGCGAAAATAGAAAAATGTACAAAGCCATGTGATTTGGTTTTTTATGTCGACTGAATAATTTGATTTACCTTCGACCATTGATTTGCTGTTATATAAGTCTAATCGTCTATTATGATTGTATTTATAAGTGAGTCAATAATAGATTTCGTGCCCTATTATAAAATATCAATAATTAGTTCTACTGAAAAGAACTGTTCACAACCTTAAATTAATCTAAGAAATAATCACAAAATATAAAGAAAAAATACATTGCAAATTTCATGCTTTATTTATCTCAAAATCACTAAAGTACATCGACATAGACTATTCTTCTTTTGAGTTATAATAACATATTTGTTTTCGTTTGTAGAATTAAGTAGAAAACTTCATATGTTTTATTGGATGTTTTTAGAAACAACGTCGATTGATCATTGACATTAGCGATTTAGACTATTTTTGTATTAAGTTTATATGAATTAAAATTTCATTGTTCATGTTGAGAATGATATGAATCCGATATATATACTAATATTATGATAAATAGCTTTTAAAAAATAATAAATCTTCTTTTTTAGAATATCATTTGAAAAAAAACTAACCTTTTATTTTCGACTGATACTGATCTGTGATAACCATAAAAGAAAAATAGAATAAAGATCAATGAAAATTTCTATTAATCAATATCATCAATTTATTCTTCTTAAAGTTTTACAAGAAAATAAATATTTCAAATCGTTTTCATTAAACATAAGTTGACTCTATACTGAAGTTGAGCATAAGATATTTTTATAAATTCGGCGAAACATCGTTTGATGATTACTCCAAAAAATGAAACAATCAAAAGCCTTTATTAAACGATTATTTTCTGAATTAAATATAATTACAATAAAACTTTCACCGGGAATAAGCTTCAAATTTAAATAACCATCATGAACTATTTATTTTTCTAAATCATTATTTGGATTATTGATATCCTTCAATACTTTTAGATATAATTTTTCTGAAATCATTCCATATGATATTGATTGAGTTTGTTCATTATTCACTTTTTCAACCATCATATATGTTACCAATACGGTTCTTCGGGTCGCATTCACTTTGTCGACAATCATTTTGCCGAAACCACTTTGCCGACAAATTGTTTTGTCGACAGGTACTTTTTGCCGACAGGTACATTTTGCCGATGCCTTGTTTCGTCGACATCATTTTGCCGACAATTCGTTTTGCCGACAAACTTTGTTCATATCTTAGCCTACTAAATCTAATAATTTCCAGGGTACACCGGTAAGAGGTGTATAAACTGGCATCCCGTGAACAAAGGACAAACATACAGATATAAAAACTCATCAATGTTAATTTTGGATTTGTCTTTCGTAGACTTAATCACTTCAGCGTACCTGCTTGAAACACTCTCACTGTTTTGACTTGAAGCCATGATTAAATTGTAACTTATCTCACGAGTAACAGATGAGTTTTAAAAATTTTCTGGCACAATATAGTCAACAAATTTCAATTTTTTTGACTTTAATTTTTTGTCGACAAAATAAATAGTCGGTGAAACAAGCCGTCGGCAAAATGTACGTGTCGGCAAAAAGTACCTGTCGACAAAACAATTTGTCGGCAAAGTGGTGTCGACAAAGTGATGTGTCGGCAAAGTGATTGTCGGCAAAGTGATACGGACCCAAAAAAAGCAATCTGTATATGATTCATTTAGAAAGACTCATCACACATAAGTACAACATTAGAATCGCATATAAACATGAGAACCTTGATTTACTGTTTTTTAAATCCTAAATCATCATAAAACCTATCAAAACTATCATGGTCGTCTTCATCATTATGAACATCAGTATGATTTGAACAAAACTAAATTAAATATTGTAATTTTCGATTTTTCTTGCAGATATCACGTAAATACCGGGAATGAACTGGCATAAATCTGAAAAGGAAAAAAACAACAAAATCAGGCAAAGAATGCTATTCAGCGAATACTAGAAAAATTAAATTAGATCACTGTCTATTCATGGTTTGAACATAATTTTTTAAATAAAAATAAATTTAAAATCTCTCCTACAAAGTGTACATTGTACACTGTGGTTTTTAAACTAAGTGTTCAGCAGCATGTATTTTCACAGCTGCAGATGCTTGTACACTTGCCATTAGAAACACTGATGGGTAGTACTGATTGGAAGTTTCTATTGCCATTCCCATGCTGAAGTCATTAAAGTCTTTCTGTATTTGGATTGGTCAGATTGTATTCATTATTTTTCAGCATAGACACTTTTTCGAAAAAAAAAATTTCTGCACCAACTACCGTTATTAAAAAGTTTGGCCTATTTAATTTTTTCAGAGGTCGTCACACGTAGTGCATTTGATATTGATTCGCTTAAAAAGCTATGCTTTTTTTGCACTGTCGGCTGACTAAATAAACAAAAGCTTTAATTCTATTTATTATAATGTATGTTTTTTTTTCTTCTTAGAATGTCACAACTTATTAACATGACACAAATGATCGATCGAATTGAAAATGCATTACCTAACACCAGTACTAAGCTTAAGACAACACTTGGTGACATTTATGAAAGTCAATCATCAACATCTGGTTAAAAAAAAAATCTTTTTCATCATTACCCAGGTCCAATAAAACGGCGTCGTAAACGGCCTGAAACGGCTATAAAACGGCGATTAGCGATGTAAAACGTCGATAAACGGCACCGTAATCCGTCATACTAGATTTCGGAAGCAAAACCGGAAAAAAACGACCGCCGTTTTCTAGCGATAGACGGTGGTCGTAATATGGTATGACGGATTACGGCGAAATAAGGCCAAAATTACTGCAGTAATTCGCCGTTTTATAGTTGTTTCAGGCCGGATACGACGCCGTTTCCGACGGCCGGAATGATTCACCTGGGTATTCGAAGAATTACTCGAGTATTTAACTATTGAATTATCCACAACAACAAACTCGATTCATGATATTCAAATCCAGACCGTTTACGACCAAGTAAAATTAGATCTGGACAAGTGGAAACAAAAATGGTTTCCATCTACACTTGGTCAAACTAATATTGATGGATTATTTATGGATCTTATTGAGATTATTCAATTCGCCTTTAAAACAGTTTCTACAGTATTCCAAGATGTATCAGTAAGATTTATTCTTTTCTTTAATTTCCTTTTTAATTTCTCGGTGCAATTTGTTTAGATAACAACGAATACACTAACAAAAGAAAATAAATTATTAAATCTTGAAATACAAAAAATTAATGAAGAAAGTAAAAAATTAAATTATTATACAAAAAATATAGAACAAGAAGTTACAAATCTTCGGAACAACGAACTGAAGAGACAAAGAAAAGAAAAATTGCAAGAAAAGCAAATTTTAATAAGAGATCTCTTCAATATTCCAATACAAAGATTATCTCAAGAAATTGAAAAGCACAACTTGAACAAAAATCAAATCAACATCTATTATAAGACAACAATAAATAGCAATAAATTGTCATCTAAACATCCATTATTATACCAAATACTTGATGAAGTATCAAAAGAATTTGGAGTGGACGTTGATCAAATGTTAACATGTTTCAAACAGAAAAAACAATCAAATGATACTTTTCATCTTCAGCAAGTAATCAAAGCATTTGCAAATGGAAAAAAATGGACGAAAAATTATGATTTAAATGAATTTTTACGTATTCAGGATATGTATCCTCTTGATTCAGAAGATTCACTCCTATTACAGCCGATATTTAAACAAATGTGCCGAATAATCAACAAAGATAGAAAATAACAACGTAATTTAAAAGATGCAACAAAAGAAAAGGAACTTTATCTTTTTTTATTTTATGGATAGTAAACATGTTTTTTTTTTATGAACAAAAAACAAATAAAGGATATTTTGGTTGAAA